CTGAGTAAACAGGATTTAACTCTTCATTCTTTGTGTCAGTCCCAGTGCAACGATGACTACTCGCAGGTCTTATCACAGGTTTTGTTGCTAAAAAAATAAGTCAGTCTTTAATTTTAGAAGTAAATCAGCAAGTGGTCAGAGGCTTTTAGATCATAGTGGGATATAGTTACAGCTCAGCTAAGCTTAGTCAAAGCCACTGATAAGTGAATAGGTGTGAGCTGTTACTGTGCAAACAGAAGTCGTTGCATCACGTTACAGTCGGATTTTATTTCAGTCTCTTAAAATCATCAAGATAATAAGAAAGTAGAGCAGCTTTGATGCAAAGTCCACCAAATGTAGGTCAAGGGAAACGGCTGGAAAAGCGTTGACAGTCAACCATTTAGGTGGTGAATACAAAGTGCTGACAAATGCAGAGACACTAAAACTTTATGCACGAATAAACATTTTGAAATCCATAAAATTCTTTGTTCACAGAGCAAAGTTTAGAATTGTGCTTTCTATTTATCGCCGAGGTTACAGCAGCTGGTGGTTTACTACATTACATTTCAGTACAGGATGGTATAATTAGCCAATGCTTTAAAACCCTAGAGTATAGAAGAGTATAGTATTTGATTATATAAAGGATATTTAGAAAATAACAAATTGTAGATGGGTAGAAGGAGTTTGACAGCGTACTCACATACTAATGATGTTCTAAAGGAAATGTATGTGGACAGGATGTGCTTCGTATGTATACAGTCTTTATCAAAAAGGCACTAAAGTAAGTTACTGTGTACACAGTGTTTAAAGTTGTTGGCTGTGTTTATGTATGTCCCATATAAATTACCTCGATCCACATACTAGACCGTATGAGTCACTGTTTTTAAATTGGCTGAACTTGGCGGCTGTTTGTCCTCTTTTTAAGTTGACTTCTTTCTAACTGGCTATCCCTCGCAAACAGATGCTTTGACAGCAGGTGGGCGGGACTTTTTTTTTTCTCACAGCTGAAGCTTTTAGCTTGAAATGACCATATGTGTCATATCTGCTTTCACTTCCATACAGATTCAAGCACAGACAAAAAGACAGTTTGAAACAGAGTTTATTTTTTTGTTTTAGCAGCTTTTGTCTCACACGGTTTGCATAGGCCAGAGTTGGAAAGTATAAATATTTTGTTGTAGTACTCGGTACGGTATTTCAAGTTGCTTTTTTCCCCGACAATATTTAAATTTTACTCCCTCAACTTTTAATTCAATTCAATTCAATTCAATTTTATTTATATAGCGCCAAATCA